TCACCTGTACATTACCGCTTGTAAAGACTTTAGTGTAAGTTAGAAAGAAAGAAAATAAGTCTTTCAGAAGGGAGAACTTGCAGAACAATTTAATCAGTCACATGTAAAGTCTACACACATAGTAGTGTGGACGTGACAGTGAAAATAAGTACATGGAAATACAAGTAAGTAAACAACAAATTTACGGGTAATGTTGATACAACAAGGATTACGATCAATTACCATAATAACAAAAAGCGAGGTCTGAGACAAGCACTTAAGAACACAATTTCTACGAATATTCATTTGAACGGAACCGAAAGGTCCACAGTGTCTAACCCGCCTCTACTCCTCCTTGTCTCTACCACCGGAGTCCTCTCGAGCTAGCGGGGGGGGGACCAGCTCCCGCCGACACTCCTGGAATACCACTGAGCTAACCTCCCCCCAAGCCGTAGTTTGACTGGGCGTAGGAGGTGGGACGGTTGAGTGGGGGCATGGACGCGGGCGTCACGTATCAGTAGGCCGGTACTCGTCCTGCTTCTGCTCCACGAGTTGAGGGTGTAGTCATGGGAGACCGCGTAGTCGTGGATGCCGCCTCTTTGGTAATTTCACGCTATATAATACGGAAATCCAAGTAACCACATAATCACAAGACTGTACAGAGGTACGAAATTACAGTTTTTCGAGAAAATAACAGAGTATGACGGACACGACGTCGTGGGAGAAAGTAGAAGACAGACTTGGTCTTCGGTCTAGACGAGACTAACCAATCCGACGGTCGAGACAACACTAACCAATTGGCGAATCCCTACAGAGCTGTGGAATCGGGTACCACAGTTTAGTTAAGTAGCCGCCCGGTGTAAGGAATACCAACGTGAGTTTCCCGGGCCAACATTGAAGTCTGATATATTTTTTGCAAGCTGTATAATGATTTGGTTCACACTTTTTACCCAAAGCGACTTCCATACTCAATACTGTGGGCAATCCCCACAGGAGCAATTTGGGGTGAAGTGTCTTGCCCAGGGACACAACGACATGCTGACTGCAGTGGGGTTTGAACCTGTGACCCCCTGATCCCAACACCAACACACTAACCCACTGCGCCACATGCCTACCCTATACATGCAGTGGGGTTTGAACCTGTGATCCCCTGATCCCAACACCAACGCACTAACCCACTGCGCCACATGCCTACCCCATACACCCTACAGGGAAGGGAAACAACAAAAAGCACAATAGGACCTCTTTATGTGTTTAGCTCTGATTTTCCCAGATCAATAGGAGGTCTAATAAACTATTCAAACTAATTTGGAAATGTAAATACATACATCATTCACTGATCCTGATCTGGAATATATACGATTCACTCAAAGAAGGAAAAGAAAACCTCTTTTTGCCTAGAGGAGTGATCACATTCTTCTGTCCATATACAATTGTGTATCTGATTTGCCTCTTGTGTTTGACAAACATTCCTCTGTAGCAGCTGCAATCAAACACTAGTCCAAAAGTATTTGTAATAAAGATGTCTAGTGGATTTTATTTGCCAATGACGGAGTTGGAGAACTGGAGCAAAACTGGATGAATTAAGAAAATAAGGCACAATAGTTTCACATTTCGCATGTTATGATGCTGTCGTTCCCTTTCTCCGTCTGTCTATCTTGATTGATTGACTGAATGGCAGATGGATGGAAGCAGATTGATTGATTGAGCGGTTTTAAGAGCTTGCTGTAATGGAAATGTGATAATCTTCTAAATAAATAAATAAATAAAATCAGGTCTGTCAAACCCTCCCACATCTGACAAGTATAAATCTAACTGATTAACACCGTTGTACATTCACATTTCACTTGCTGTTTATTTGAATATAACAGATTGCATAGTGTAGCATTATGAGAATGTGTCTCAAGGTGTAAAGATGTCTTTTTAATTCGCTGCTGCTGCAACACATTGCCATTGTTAACATATGTGAGACTTGTAAAAAATGCTGGTGTTTTGTCACTTGTTTAAATGAGCCTAATGCACAATGTACTACATGGAAGACCTTGTCAACTGAATAATTACAGAGTTACGGATCACAAGGTACTGCAGGCCTTCTCCCGGGAGCGAGGCTTGTCGAGGTAAACTAGGTGTAGCGCACAGTTCATGCTGTTTGAATAAGGAGTTTTAAAAAACCCTCAATTGTACGAACAAATGTTTCTATCCTGAAACTCATTTGATCAATGTTAGTCTCTAATAGTAATTCCACATGGGGCTAGTCCAATCTGTGAACAATCAGTGATTTGTAATTACAATCAGTGGTTAGGGATTTTTTTTCTTTCTTGCTTTGGAACAAACTTTTTATACAAAAATCCTTATTCCTCTAAACACTGTGAAATACCTTTTACTTCACAGCAGTTAAGGAATGTATCACTGCTTCCACATTGAAATGTACCTATTTAAATATTGGTTAACCTGCACAATTAAAGAATAAAACTGCCCTGCTATAATGTTTCTTATTGTCGTAAAAGTTTAAAATAAATACATGTTCTAACATTATTGTCATAGTTAGTACAAATAGCATCGATGTAATGTAGTGCAGATGATTGTTTATGGAGATATAGAGTTACAAAATTGGTGTTTACATTTTGTTAAGTTGAGCTCCTTAGCTGTAATGTTGGTAGGTGAGACTTTTAGCCAGGCAAATCTGAGGACACCTTTGTCACTGGAGCTAGCCACTTGTTACACCTGCAGGCAATGAACTGATTGGCACTTCCTTGTTTGTGACAGCGTGAAAGACTGAGCCCTGAAGCTAGGTGAGTCATAGCTGAAATGTTTGTATTATTAAATATAAACTGAAAGTGAAGTGCTATATACTGGTTTGCTAAATATTTCTCCTTAGCGTTTTTATCTTCTGTTGCTATGTTTTCCCCCTTTACACTAGTTGTTCAGATATTATCAACAAATCCCATGAAAAGTGATCCTTAAAAAATATCATTTGTCTTACCTTTAACATAAACCAACTAAAAACACCAACAAGCCACACTGTTGGACTAGGTTTTGATGTTTTTTCATTACAATGAACTTTATTAGTGATGGTGAGATGAAGCCTTATGAAGCTTTTAAGCTTTCCAGCCAATTGGTTCGCAAAAGGGTTCATCTCATGAGGCTTCATCATGGGCTTCATTTGAACACAAACTCCCTGTTGGTCAAAGTGTGTAAAACAGGCAGATTGGACATCTCAACAGTTTGCTCTATCTCATACCGAGTGCCCAATGAGTAAAGCCTTATAATAATGTTAACAATATTGTTTTTATTCCAGTTGATTGTGATTGAAAAGCCTAAGGAGGCTGGTAAACATTGCAAAGAGGGATTTGTATTCCTTAATAATATTCGTAAACTTAACCATGTTGTAGTTAAACCAGATCAAAGAATACATTTATTAACTACATTATCTCATTTAGCTGTAGCTTTTATAAACAACCAAAAAGACGTATTGACGAGTCGTGAGTCATTGACACGCTGAATCTCCCTGAAAACACTAAGATATTTATTCCTGTATTTATTCGTTTATTTATTCATGTTTTTATTCCTACATTTATTTATGCTTGTATCTATTTATACTTATGACATGTTCCGACCTCTATATAAGTGAGGTTCTGAGCTCTTTTAATTCCATCGTGTCACCAGCGGGCCCGGGTACAGGAGGGGTAATATGGTTCTTATTATGTCACCATGAGTATTATGAGCGTTGTGGTTCAACGGTTCAATTTGGTTCAACCATGGTTGAAACATGGGTTCAACCGATCTGAATCGCTTCCTGAAGCAGTCACGTGGTATCGACAGGCGGCGAGGCTTCGTTTGTCATCGATGACGTCACTGGCCCAAAACGATACAAGCCTCGACACACGCTCCGAAGCCTCGGCCCAATACGTAACATCACTAAACTTTAGTGTTGTTGTTTATTTGTTGAGTCAATCCCACACCCTCACCAGTGCAGCAATTGTGTATAAATCTGCAGGTAGAGTAAATAACACCCCAGCAAATGCACCTTTTCCTCCAAGTTGTTTGTTATTTGCCAAGTATTAGTATCCAGCTGTTTACTACTTAAAGTTTTTAAATATATGAAACATATATAGGACTTTTGACTGAGTGCAGAACAGGGAAGTCAGACTATAGACTGTCCTCATTTTCAAGGGATTGTTGACATAAGAAGACGAGTGTGAATGGAACATGTCTAGAGAAAACACCATATTTGTCTCATAAAGTGCGTTTCAATCAAACATTACATGCTCTGTTTCGTCAACATGTGGCAAAAAATACGTATGTGTTGCAAATACACTCCTTTCACCATTTGTGGTGAAGCTCCTGTTGAGTAATTGCTATTTTGGTTGTATAGCGATGTGATAGCATTGCATTTGACAGTTGATAGAGAGCAGGGAAGCGTTAAGTAGACAGTGGTGGAGTGGGGTCCATCTGTGAGGGGGAACAGAGAGCTGAGGCAGAGTGTGAGGCAGCCCCTCAGGGCCCCCAGGCAACTCAAACAGCATTAGCAAGAGGTGTCCCTGCCTTTACCGCAGCTTTCACGCCTCACTCCTATTCCAACGCAAATCAGAGGCAACACAAGTTGTCCATTTGGGATATTGAGTTGATATGGAGATAAAGCCTGCACTTATTAGCCATGGTCATCAAAAAGATCAGCAAGGGACCCATAGCCTGTTTATCTGTCTCTAACATTAGTGTGAGCAGTTGTCGCTGCAGGTGGCATGAAATATTAAAAGGATAACCTCGTTTTGCTTACTGACCAGAGCCAAGTTGTCACATGTCCTCAGGTTGTGTGAGGCCTCTGATTTATTGATTGTCCTCTCTTTAAATGTCTACAGTTGGGATGTATCATTCAAAATCTCCCCTCAGGGGCTTGTTTCTCACCTTATTAACTACGAGCTCTTTATATCGTTTGTTTAAAGGTCCATGTCATTGCCATTTCTACTGTTCATATTTCCATTGTTGAGGTCTACTAAAATAGATTTAAATTGTGCAATTTTCCAAAATCACATTGGTTTCTCATACAGCATCTCTGTATAGTATGTGTATTCACCGGGTATTCACTCTCTGTCCTAAATGGCTAGTTGCGAGGCTCGTTGCTGCGAGGAGCGGACAGGTTTCCGGGGCGGGTCGGCGATACAGAGAGACACGCAAACACTCACAGCCGAAGTAAAAACAATAAGTGTGGCTTGATATTGAGTAAGAAAAAGGTTTATAACGCTGTGAGAATGGGTCTGCGGAGAGCATTTCTCCGCCATCCCAACTCGTCTATTACCAGCGTTCAGGGAGCTCTATGCAAGTCAATGGGGACTCCCTGTTAGTCAGCCAAGGGATCCTGGTGTGAGGTGCTCCGCGGATTGGTCCATTTGTTGTTGATTTGGGTGTTCACATGTCACAGAACCCAGGAAGCAACAATGGAAAAAGAGAATTCCCCAAGGAGGCGTTTTGGGGCAGCATAGACAGGTCTTTTCTGTGTTAGAGTTTTAGTCGCTACAGGGTGTACTTTGAGGTTTTGTGACTCTGCAGACCGTTTACATGCATAAAAATCTTCATAACACGCAAGGGGATGGGTAATAACCGGAAAAGCATGACATGCGCCTTTTAAGGATAGATTGTTTTATTTTTAGCAACTGCACATCGGCAGTTAATGAGGTTTTATTTTCGTCAGCATTAGATTTGAATTGTTTGTACTGTTTCTCACTTGCGCAAATAACCAGTGACTCAGCCTGTCCCTATGAAATCACAGTCTTATAGTCAATGTACAGTAGATGGATAGAGGGATGGATATAGTGCTAATGAAAAATAAAGAACATTAAATATTCTTAAATGTAGTCTAAAGATTAAAAAAAAACAGAACCTCCATTAATTATTATTAATTAACATAGAATGTGTTTCCTTTTAATCAAAAAACCAAAGTCTAAAATGTCGAACTGTTCCTTTAAAGGTCAGTAAAAAAACTTTACCAAATGTATTTGGAATAGGCCAAAACATCTACTGTACAAATAACAATTTTAATAATTTAAATGTACGTTGGACAAGAACAAATGCAATGTGTGACATTAGAGACAAATGCCGTGGATAATGATAAGACATCTGTAATACATAACAAAGTCAACCTTACAGCACCGAGGGGTTCAGAAAGAAATAAGGCTCCAGGATGTTGTGTATTGTCAGATTGTGAATATTGCTCTACATGTTGATGGTACATGTGATGTATACCACAGGTTTACATACAGTAGTGGCAGATATTTGTAACTCAAAAGCCAAACCTTTTTGAAGGGCATGTTTCTACCCTCTATAGAATTTGGAGGCACGTGATGTGATTCACAGCGTTCACTGCTGGCAGAAACTCAGCAGTGCTTCGAGCTGCCAGCCACGTGACCGGCTGGGAAGCGTTGATGGGTCTGATGGTTTTGGAGTGAGTGGCAGCTGAGGCGGGCGGGGTGGACGGGCTGCGAAAAGAGTAAGCAAAATGGGGGGGGCTGTGTTTTGGGGGAGGCGTTGGTGGGCAGTGGTTTGGGATGTGTGAGGAACAACAGCGTTGCTCCTGTGCGTCTGCTCCCTGACACTTCCCTAATCTGATAACGGATGAGGACAGGTTGCCTTCGCTGTACCTGGCAAGTACCTTCCCCAACCTGCACAGGCGGATTTCGGCGGATAAGGCCAAGCTTGGCAAATGCTGGCATCCTCTGGAGAATAGTTAAAGGGTGATTAATCATTGTTTAGGCGAGGAATGTGCGGGGAAGAATGGGAAAGCGGCGTTTCACACCTCTGAAGCAATTAATCCCTGTGATCTCTACCAGGTTTGTCTTGTAGATAAGTCAGGATACAAAACTGTTCCTAATTTATCAACCCACTCATGCCATCCAGCATAAAACACACAATTTATTTCCAATCATTTATAGTCACATTTTTAAAAAGAGTGACTTTGCCACATCCAAGAGTGCCTTATATTAGCTTCATATAAACTAAGTACCCCAGATTACAATGGGAATCTTGTTTTATTGTGCACATCTGGTGGAGTCACAATGCATTTTCACATTCGCTGTCTGAATTTTTGAGTGATTGTGGCATAAATCATTTTGCTAATCAGAAACATAAGTGACATGAAGGCATCTCCCCTCTTAGAACAAAGGAACAACATATGGCTCTAAAAGCACTCAGGTCTTTTATTTCCAAGGTATATAACCTGTGCATAAACCAATATTATTGAACTCATTTGCATTTTTCTTTCATTCCGGGCTCTTTTTCAGAACTCATATCTTTGCAGATGACTTCAATAATGGATAAGAAAAGCATTTCTTCCTCGTTATATATTTGATTCTCAACTTGAGTGCAGTTAAGCAAAACATAAGACTTGGCTCAATGGTTTGTTGCAAGGTGAATTATGGCAACGTACTCTGTGGTTTGAAGTAAACATAGACCAGCGCATGCATGATAGCTTTATGTAAATATAAGAGCCACCGCGAGTTCCTCCCTCCTAATAAACTGCATTAACAGATGAACCAAAAACGACACTGATATGACAAGATGAATTCCTTTATTATGAGTGGGTTCTCTCTGCATTGCTTCCAAATCATATTTGCCTCCTAAAATGGAAGGGGGGGGGAACACATTCCTGCCAATAATAGTAAAATGGCTCCTGTTTTAATTGCATCATTACGTACCCAATATCAGCAGCCTGCCTGCCAATATCAATATTGCCATAACATGGGTGGAATATAGATGACCCAGGGTATGCGTGGGTCTTCCATGAGTGCCTCCATGCCAGACTCATCCCAATGCCCGCTGTGCAGGGAATGGGAATGTAGGCCGGATAGCAGCTCGTCTTTCTAATGTCCCCCCGTATTCCCTTAATTGCTGACGGATCTTGTTTGGATTTTGATGGCGGCTTGGATTCTGTGGTTGCTACACATAGGAATTGATAGGCCTTGAGGGAAACATCATGTTACCCACTATGTGTGTGTGTGTGTCTGCATGTCTGCGCGTGCATCCGTATCTGTGTGTCTACATCTGTTGGTCTGCACGTGCAAAGATCAAATCTATTGTAAAATCAAGGGGTGGAGGGCTTTGCATAATGCATTCGTACATTAGGATGATGTAACTAATATAAATGGTGGTCAGTGGGGTCAAGTAGGCTGCATGAGGATACACCGAGCAGATGTTTAACTGATGGTGAGAACACACAGGTTCTTCTAAACATGCTTTTACTGGAGTGCAGAAAGAGCAAACACTTCTATAAGCCGGAGATAGGTAGAAATAAAGGCTGTTTTGCATTTCTAATCCAGCAACACTGCACATGTGGCACGGAAGAAAACTTAACAATTAGTTACTGCTTTGATGAAGGAAAAGGAAATCTTGTAGGTCCCACTTCGAATGCACTTCACATATTCATATTAATGCATTCAGGACTGGAGTGAAAGATAATTTTCCTGTTTAAATATTTTATTCTAGTTTAAAACTTAACCCGTAATTAGAGCTCCCTAATGGCAAGAGAATCCAGTTTGTCCGTTTTGATTAGATTGTTGTTTAACTATTAATTATGTATCTTTGTGTCATATAGTTTTGATGCTACCAGATGGTGCAATGGTTGGTGGGTGGGAATGGGTGATGATTTATTTACCTGCGCTCTGTTAGTAAGATCTATTCTTACATGTTTCCACTGTAGCTTACGACAGAATACGATGAGAGAAGATGTAAAATATATACATGAAGCATTCTGTAAGGATTTTCCACTTAAATATTTCTTTGGTTTATAATTTGTTTTGTTTTGTTTGAACAACCTTTCAAAAATATAATATTGTAAAATGTAAATGGTACAAAAAAAACAATAAATCATCTTATTAGAATAGCTAGAACAAGGGGAATTGTGTATACACTTTAAATGCCATTAAAGATTTGTTAACCATGGTGATTTTAGCTCTAGATATTTATTTTCAGACATATCATTCAACAAATATTCATTCATCCTGCAATCCCTGTGTGCTTCAAGGAGGCATGGTGTTCAATATGGTGTTCAAATGCTTTTATCCCAGCCCTCTGATGCACCGTTTATTGGATTAGTTAAAAATGAGGGTTGTTAACGTGGTTCGAAGACTTGAAAACAAAGACAAAATGTCTTGAACGATATCAAATAATACATAAATAGTAAAACACTATTGTCTTAATTAAACTTGATATCTATGTTTTGTAACTAAAACAGGGACCGACTCATAAAAACAATTGCAACATCATGGTACTGGAGGTCAAAACTCATCAGGGTGCCTTTAATTGAATAGTTCACGCATGTTTGAGTTGATTGTTGCACACATTGTTTGATTCATACATGATTTGGTCATAATTATTTATAGTTTAGTTGTACATGCTGGGCTGGCACAACATTATTAATTAAATAAATGGCTGCGCAGCATTGTTGTGTTTTGTTTAGTATTACCTTTGATATTACAAGAGTGTATTATATATACACTAATTGTTTTTTACTGTAGAGAGCTTATTGAGTTTACATGTATATGAAAATGATACACTCTCACAGTATCAAAATTAAAGATAACTTCATTGTGCAGCTTTTCTTTCCCTTTTAGGGGGGATTTTTGCAACAAACATATTAACATTTGAAGCTTTACAAAGCAGTAATTTATTTTTTTGCAGCATGAGTGACCTGAGCGAGAGTCAAACTCAACCTGGCAGCGTTGTTGTGATGCTCTACTAGGAAGGGCACATAAACTTCACGCTCTGCTGAACTTTTGACCTTTTTTAGCACTCTGTCAACAACTACATGATGAGACGTGAGTTTTCATTCAAAGTTGAGTCATGTTTGCATTTGTGTCGGGCTGTTTTGTTGCACCCGGTTTGACTCTGGGCTGTATATTTGGCTGGCTGTTATTTGTTTTGTCTCCTGATGATGGGGGCCTTTGATTGATGGACGGGATCCAGGACATCTCCGATCGACAGCTGTTGATAGCTCTGAAATCGAGAGCAGCAGTCGGAGCGTAACAATGAGCTCATTGCGCTCTTGGCTTGGTCGCCAGCCCAGCAAACCCCAGCACTAGGGGGACTTCATGAATTTCAACTGGGGCCACAAATGTGAGTGCACATGAAAATTGTGCTGCGGTGAAGGGACAGGGACTAAACGAGGAATATAGCCCTGATTATCTAGACGTTAAAGAAGGAATGAAAACTCAATACATCACGTGAGCAGCACCGTTTTCCTTGAACACAAACATAATTGTGTTAAGTTCAATTTAAGTCTTTCCAGTAATAAAGCTTAAAGGACAATTTCCACTGAAAGACTTGGTTCTTAAATTCAGGAAAACTATCATCTAAAAGATGCGAGTACACTTAAGTGTTGCCTCGTCAAATCAAAAGGTCCATAGCTTTCAGTGATCATTTGTGTGCGGGGCTTGTTCTGGTCTGCAGTGAAACAGGTGATGGTTGTGACTGTCGTGGGAAGGCCTGTTAGCAGTGACATGCGAGGAAGGAGTTTTATTAAAGAAATTCCTCACGTTGGTGGAATGCCTCGTTGTAGTGACACCAGCACATTGTCAATCACAACTCAACAATAACATTCCTACAGACTGCCGTGATTCGGATTTATTAATTTGGTGGCTATTGTTGGAAATCGTCCTGTTTGCAGCCGATGAAACTGAAAGAAAGTAACTCGCAGCAGATAGGGTGTTATCCAATGTATGCACTGTAGGTTAATGGAAAAGGTTAAGGAGTAAATGTAAGAATTAAGCATTGCTCCATATTGTGTTTTGTCTTATAGCCACCCATACTTCAGCTTTAATTGGGCAGCATCATGCTGTAATAAGCTGTGGTTGCATGGGTTTGATGCCCGAGCCCTCTGAGGTTACCAAAGCACCGGCACCACATCTGAGCGCAAATTAGCATTCTGGGCAAGCATAACTCCCCAAGCTTAATTAAGGTAAATTCAACATTGTAGTTCATCATCGGGTTTTATACAATCTTAAAACCAGTTGCGCTTGTTTGGCAGCTGTTTATTTCTTATATTAAAAAAGAAAACATTACACTGTAGATGATTTGGCATCCCAGGATTTTGAATTTGAGCCCTCTATTATGGGAAATCTGGGTTTGCGCAATGATTAAATGCTTAATAAAAAATTCATTGTTGTTGCCAACATCTGTATTGTATGGGCTAACGGCTCACTGGAGTGTGCGAAACTTGTAAAGTTTCCAAAAGCGCTGCTGAGAACCCTGGAAAGTTCACCTAAGAGTTTGCCTTCCTCATTACCAAGCTACTTCTGTGTCTGCGATTAGACTGAGAACATCTTTAATTGCTTTAAAATCTGAATGCATGATAAGAATGGATTAATTTGATTTTGCTGTTCCTACAAGTAGCAGATGGTTTATGTCTTCAGAATGCTCATGTTGTAAAATGAGATCCCCAGCTTGTCTCTGATTGGTCACTGTTAATGAAGCATGCTGGGCTGATTATTGATTTAGAAAATGAGGACGACACAAGTATTGTGTGTGTTGCTGTGATAAATTAAAGACAAGCGTTGTTTTATTGTTGACAGACAGACACGTACCTTAAATAACACAAAATATTAGATTTTCCATTCAGGTGTTCTCTGGCCCGTCAAAGTAATTTTATTGTTTATTTTAAAACAGGCACTTTTATAGTTGCCACTAACAAGCAGATGGTCGACTTGACTTATTTGTGTTTTGTGTTTCTGAATGACCGATCAGATGCATGATGGGAAATGCAATGAGCTGCTTGTCAGGGAAGAGACAATTCACGGGAGAGGACCCGCGAAAGCTGTATACATTCCCAATTTACTCACATCTCTGCGGTTTTTAAGGTTAGTAATTTCTTTTTGCATTATTATTGGCTGTTGCGAGAGCAGCTGTTCCCCAGCCTCCTCCCGAATTACCATCCGCACACTGACAGGCAGGCAGCTGATGGGGAAACTCACTGTGTGCATGAGGTGATCCAATTCAGCAATGAAACTAATGTGCTGCATCAAGGGGGAGATGTGGCGGCCCTGGAGGAAGAGGAGGAGTCAAAGGTTCAAACACAGTCTCGGGAGCAGCTTGGACTGATGAACATCCCTGTTGTTCTGTTCTTCCAGTTCTTGCCTTTATTATTTGTTTATTTATTTGTTTATTTATCTGTCTGTCTGTCTGTCTGTCTGTCTGTCTGTCCATCTATCTATTTCTATGTAGTATTTATTAAATGATTTATTAATTTAGCTCCCAACACACTACCTTCTTATCTTTGCAGCAGATTCCAAACATGCACCCTTCTGCTTTTCTGGTTTTATATATATATAAAAAAAAGACAATACAGATACATTTTTGATGTTTGTAGGTACTATGAGGGGTGGGGACAACATAATGGACACATCTAATTACTATAACACAAGAATTAAGTATTTTGTTGTGTTAGGGGTCTCGGATACTTCAACATAATTATAGACAGTGTATGTGGACCATGAGGGTCTTTTGGCAATTTAGGGTCTGAGGGAGTACAAACGATGAAGTAAAGCCAAAGTCAACACACAGAAACAACAAACAATACATTCATGACTAATTAGGGTACACATTAATACAAAAATCATATAAATCAAATATTGTTCTTTACTAGCCAAATAGGTTCATGTACTGTTGATGACTTTTGTCTTAAAGCGACATAACTTGAACATATTTGTTGTTATAACTGTTAATATCTATATTGCATACCCTCTGATCATGGTCAGCCACTAATAGAAGAGCCGGAGAGGTCATTTAATTGTAAAGTGAACTGAGGACGGAATATGATTTGAGTACTTGCATTATTCACAAAGTAGCAGCAGTGGATTCCGTTCAAAACCCCCCACTGTGCTCCGTTTCCAGACATGCCGGCCTGAAGTTTGTCCAGCGCAGTGTGCTCCTTTGAGCATAACAACAAAGTGCTCATCGCCTATTTGCTGCTGAGGTCTTATGTTCATATCTACTTCTATTGACCTGCAGTGCAAACATTTATAATTACCTTTAGCTCTGTGATATCAGCCTGCCTTGAATAACCTGCAGTGGCATTTTACCACCTGTTACTAATCGCTCTGTGAATTCGTCACGGCACCGGCAATGATTCAAACCAACACTGGGCGCCCCACAAGACCCTCCAGGAAACGTATAGCAACCGGCAGCAGAGCAGCGTTCAGAGAGCCGGGGGAGCCACTTCATGGATTTTTTGCATCATTAACTATTTATGAGTTGCCACTTCATGTTATTTACACTGGACTGATGGTAATGCTGTTCAGAGCTCAAACGCCATGCAGGGTCCCCGCTGGGGTAGCTGGGTGGAGGGTGCAGCGGGAGGCGAAGGCATGTGTGAATCTGTTAAATATTGTACGTAAACGCCACCTTCAGCTGTGAACGAGGCGCAGGGTAAAAAGGGCGACTTGGGAGCAACTCTTGGGGGACAAAGAAACTCGGCAGACTGCAGACAGGACACACTATGTTACTATATAATGTATAAGTCAAAGCCCTGCCACAAGCCACAAGGAATATTCAGTTGACCTGGTTTATCTTTAGCTTTAACCCACAAGAGCTGATTGCATCACCATTTGCAGTAAATGTGTCATAGCTGAAGATAGATTATGCATCATCTGCTTCTGCACTTTCAAGTCTGTGGAACTGCTAGTTTTCCATCTAATCTATCTATGTATCTATTCGATGGCACACAAAGAATTGTTAGGATCTCGCATATCTGTTTTAAATGGGCATTGTTGGTCTATGTGCCTGACTTAATATTCATGTCTCTACCTTACTCTCTCTTTCTCTCTTTGAAATTGAAAGGCAAATAAACAATATGTCCAGTTAAGTAGAAATGTATCAACAAGGAAACGTGTCAAAATCAGTTTTGCAACATGGCATGCAAACTGTAAATAAAACACTTGGAATGTCCAATCAGACAAACAGCTGTCACACACTCAGTGCAGATGCTCAAAGAGAAACGGCTGGACCTGTCTGAGTTAAATGTAGGTACTGAAGTTGAGTTATTCTTGAACCACTTCAAAGAAAAGTCAAGCAGCACGGTTAAACAGAAACAGTACATTTTGGTTGATATGATGAGCAACGGCGTCCTTGGATTTGCGTCAAAACTGTTGCTTCGAACACTGAGGGACTTCTTGTTGCCAGGAAACATTTGATATGATTTTTTCAATTTTGTTGATAACTGCTGGGAGTGTTGCCCATCTACACTGTTTTAGTTTATCAGCACCCCGAGGCTTTTATATAGGTTGCCAGGAGGGATATCATCTTTGTGACTGTAGGATTTTCATTAGGTCCCTGTTTGTTGTTCAGTTTGTGTGTGGCTTTAGTTTTTATGGACATGTTTCTGCTCTTTCTCTGCCCATTCGTTACCATAGTTTTATTGGATGATTACTTTCAAATTCCTCCAATAGGTTGAAATCGTTTTAAATGTTGCCAATAGTTAATAGTTTTATTTCGCATATTGACTGGCTAATGTGCCATTGTATTTGTGTTTGTTTACAGCTGTATTTGTCTGCCTGTCTTGTGTGTGTTTTATCTATTGTAACTTCGTTCATGCTGCCCTTCTTGGCCAGGTCACTCTTGGAAAAGAGATTTTAATCTCAATGAGTCTTTTACCTGGTTAAAATAAAGGATATATAATGAAATGTGTTTGGTTGTTTAATAAAAGGTTGTATTTCGTGTTTTACAGGGGTTAGATTTTTCTATTGCGCCCATTCGCACACAAACTCAGTCTTTACAGGTAAATGAACCTTATATCACATGTCACTAAAATCAGTGGTTGTTTTCCTGTTGTGAGGTTGATTTATCACGAAAATCTTCAGCAATGGAAATCTAACTGTAGTTAAAGATTGAACTGTGTATCTTTTGTGGACATTATTAAATTCATGTGACATATCAAACCGGTATTTATACAAATTAAGATCATATTGGTTGTCGCAATATATGTATATCTGATAACGATGTTCAATCCAGGAGGTAATGCTCGCTTTAAATCTGATTGAATCAGCCAAATGCTACGCCATGTTTACCATCTCGTCTTTAATTGTGTCTGTCTGCTGTTTGGTAGACGAGCAGGTACATCGTTTACAGTTGGTTTCAGAGCTTTTTTGCCGAAAGACAATCACTGCTGCGGGCAATAACATCCCTATGAGAGCCGTGAGAGTGAACTGAAACACTGTGAAGGTGCAGGCCGGACAGATTAACAATGAGTTGAAACTCACTGAGCTCTTTAAAGCCGAGGGGAGCTGCAGATGCGGATAATAATCCTCTGAAGGATTATCACAATGAGCAAACCCTATCACATCGTCATTTGATACAATGTTATCATAAAAATATTGATTGCAGCTGCTTTTATTGAAATAGATATTCCAGTCTCTCCAAATACAAAAACCAGTAAGCTGTAGCCTTATAAATGTCTCAATAGCTGTACTGAACAGCGAGAACATCAGGCCCTTTATGGTGAGAAACTGTGTAGACTGAGTCTCTTAAAATGGGTTTCTGTTTGCAGAGGAATTAGTGTTTTCTTTAAAACGACATATTGTAATTTCACCAGTCCAGGTTTTGCTGGAGGGTGAATTTGTTCCACGCATAAATGTGTTGCTTATTAAAAAGATACACAGCATCCTCAATGATCAGCAGCGTCATGCTAGGTCTGAGTCACTTCCCATCAAATGTATAGAGATGAATGCAGAACACGGTGTCTTCTATCCAAATATCCCATGCTTGTATCCACTCGTACTCACCTGCATCCTCTTGATAATGTTGCCTTCACTGCCTATGAGGGCCTTGATGTTGGCTCGTTGAATACCCTTTTCAGACAGTTATTTGTGCTCTTTTAGCTCACAGTTTGGAGCCATGCATGAATACTGCCTGGGTCTCACCCGTGGAGCTAAAGCAGCATAGATTTGTTCATGATCCCCTCATTTGCCCATTGCTATCATCTAAATAACATAACACAGGCTGTAATTTGACCAGTGTGATTTGTGCTGGTGCTCTTTTGCAACAACAACAACCCAGAACCATTGTAGTGTGATGTTGACCGCCTAATCCAGCGCCAGACAGAATTCCCTTTGAACTCGCCTGATTGCAAGGCTAATTTGTATTAAGTAAGTGCACACCATAAACAGACTTTGGAGCTCACATTATTTGTGGCAGTCACTGAAGCTTCAAGGCGTCGTTGTGACTAGCGGAGCCCAAGGGCTCAAATTACAAACTCTCTCCACTAGCATGCCTATAATTAGCCCGAAATTAACAAGAAATGTTTGCTTTAGTTGAATTATTCAAAACATTTATTTAGCTTGTAAAGCTTAGATCAAATTGTTGTTTTAAATGCACTTCTTTTCAATGTCAAATGCAGAAGCTTTTCATCTTTCTGTTGCTATTGACTGCAGGCTTGTCTTGTTATACACAGATTGTGTCCGAATTATTCAATATTTTAAAAAACTGTTGGATCATGAACAACTTCATTATTTATTTACCTTGTAGTACAGGGACCAACTACAAACTCAAGTAGACAGATTTCCAAAAGGTTTTGATAAACACAGATAACAAGCCCTGTTTCTTTAGCAACAGTTCTTTTTTCCATTTTATTAAAAGAAGCCTCTCGCGGAGAGGAGCTGTTACACCCTGCAGTTTGAAGGTGTTTCCATATTGAACAGAAAGCTTATTGCTATGTGACATTAACTGTTGCCTAGCAAGCACACACTGGACAGTTGTGTGTAAAGTTTGGCTGTGTGATTGTTTTTGAGATATCTCGCAACTCTAGTTATCCACTTTTTTTATTTGAAGGTATTACTTTCTGTTGGCGGCCCTCAATTTAAAAAAG